TTTATGGCTGAATGACATCTGTGTGTGTGTGTGTGTGTGTGTGTGTGTGTGTGTGTGTGTGTACGCATGTGTGTGTGTGAGAGAGAGAGAGACATTTTCTTGATCCACTCATCTGTTGATAGCCATCTTGACTGGTTTCCATATGTTGGCTATTTTTGCATGGTGCCAATAAACAGATGTGCAGAGATCCCTGTACAATGCTGACTTTTATTCCTTTTGTATATATGAAGGAGTGGTGTAGCTGCATCTCTAATAGCAGCTCTACTTTTCTTTTCTTTTCTTTTCTTCTTTTAATGTATTTTGTACAGGGTCTCACTACACAGATCGGACTTGTAGACTCAAGTTTGATCCCCAATACCACATACCATGCTGGCCCTGGAGCCCTGGGCATGCTGAGCCAAAACCAGGCATAGTGGTGCACACCTATAATACCAGTGCTGGAGAGGCTGAGATCACTGTGAGTCTGAGCTGAACAGCAAGACCTTGTATAAAAAAAAAAGTGGACATCCAGTTTTTCCAGCACCATTTGTTAACGAGATTGTCTTTTCACCAACATATAACTCCTTTATTGTCTGGAGTTAAATGGCTATAGTTCTGTGGGTTTGTTTCTGCATTCTCTATTTTGTTCCATCAGTGCACACATCTATTTTTGGTGCCAATATCACCCTATTTCCTAAACTACAGCTTTGTGAAATGATTTCAACCTAAATATTGTGATGCCTCCAGCCTCACCCTGTTGTTTAAGATTGCTTGGTCTATCCTGGATATTTGTGTTCATATATGAATTTTAACTATTTTTTCTAATTTAGTGAAGAATGTCATTGAAATTTTAGTGGAGATTGAATTGAATCTGAATATCACTTTTGATAATATGGCGTGTGTGTGTGTGTGTGTGTGTGTGTGTGTGTGTGTGGTACCAGGGATCGAACTCAGGGCCTTCCACTTGCCACTCAGGTGCTTTTTTTTTTTTTCCAAATTATGAAAACTTCAAACTTGCTGAAGCATATTAATAAAACTGAATTTTAAAAACTCTTTTAAAAATAATTTTATTGAGAAACAAATAGCAACAAGACAGTTGCAAAACCAATTAGTAGAACAGTTTCAATAATTAATACATTGCATATTGTTGTCTTAGTGGTTTTTTCATTGTACAAGGTGCAGACATGATATCCTGTCCACAAACACCATTAGAACAAATCTTTCTATTCATTGAATTAAGAGAAAGTAGCTGTATATCTATCCTATTTTGAATATACAGGTACAAAATGGTCCTTCACTTGTGTCCCTCTTTTTGTTTAGTTTTATCAGAGATGGTTATTCCACCTAAATATTGTAGGTGGGTGAATTCAGCAAAATATTCCAATATAGTTCAGTAGTGCATAATAGTAATGGATTTTCCATAGGACTGGCAATGTTAGAAGTTGTTGACTTGAGCCTTTTACAGCTCAGCATATTAATATGGCTTTACTTTTTATACTTTGTTTTTATACTTTTCTACTGGATGCTTAAAACCAAAATAAAGCAAGACCCATATAACGAGAAATGCAACTTTTGTATCTGATAAGGTCCATCAAATCCCCTCAGGATTTATCCTGAAACCCTGTACTGCAGTTTGTAGATCGTTTGTCAGTGTTAGCCATGTGGATGAGTTATGGCTGTTGCTAGGCCAGTGCTTATTCTACTGAGTTATCTCCGTGGCCCTAATATGGCTATCTTAACAATATTAATCTCCTGACTCATGAATGGGAGGTTATTATGGCTTGTCTAAATGTCCCCAAAAGTCTCATGTGCTCATAGGTAAAACTTTTGGAAGGTGATTAGATTACCAGGATTTATAGTTGGCTTCCTGTTAGGAAGTGAGATCTGGCCAGAAGAGGTAGGTCACTACAGTCAGAGCTTGGAAGGGTTTAATCTCTGTCCCAGTTCTCTTTTCCTCTCTCTACTTCCTGTCTGCCTACTTCCTGTCTTATGTCATGCCCTACCATGTTCTTCTGCCTTGGACCAGACCACCGGTAGTGGATTTTTTTTTTTTTTTTTGGCGGGGGGTGGGGTACCAGGGATCAAACTCTGGACCTTATGCTTGCCAGTAAGGTGATTATGCCACTGAGATATCTCTCTGGCCCAGAGGATTTCTAACTGGTGATCAACTTATAACTCAGATGAATTGAATTATCATGGTGCTGGGTGTGGAAGGCCCACCTGAGGATTGTTGTCAGCAGCATAAAAGGCAGAATAAGAGAAGCTGTCGGAATGCTGTTAGTGATGATTTTCAAGAAGCTGTTGGAAGCTGTTGGTTCTCCTAGGCTGTTCACCTGGGTGACCTTGTTATGCTCACCTTCCCAGTGAACTTGGCTGCTTTTGTCCAAGCAGGAGCTCAGGACCTCATTGTCAATGAGAATGGCTATGATTCATTCTAGGGGAGCTCTGGTCTTCATCTTTGCTTCCTGGCTCCTGAGGGGAAGAGGATTCACTGCTCAGCCTTATGGAGAAGCTTGTCACACTGGTTTTCCTGATGGGAACATAGCTTTGCACATTGCTGGAGGAGTTCAGGACCTCACTATTGCTAAAGATGGCTGTCGTACCTTTGAGGAAGCTCTGGTGCTTACCTTGAGCATTGCTTACTGGCTGGAGTTCAGATTCCTCAGCCTGCAAGCACAGATCCTTCATCCTGCTGGCATAGAATTTCTAGCTTCCATCACTGATCTTTGGACCTTTCCAGTGCAGACCCATGAAGCAGACTTTGTCATGGGCTCTAGGCCTCCAGCTGGACCTGTGGGAGGCATTGTTATGAGTTCTAGGTTTTCAGCTTGATTCATGCAGGATATTAAGATCTAGGCACTCAGCTAGGTTCTTTGGTCTTTAGTGTGTGAACAGATTTTCCGCATTCATTGTATAAGACTCTTTGGGTGATTCATTATATAGTTATCTTATAAAATGTGTCCTGTATCGTACTGTTTCCCTTGCAAAAACCCCAAACCATGACTCCACCATACAAAATAAACTTCTCTTCCTTTAAGTTATGGCCATCGGACATTGTCTTTGTGAAGAGGAAAGTAAGACAAAGGCCTTTCCATCCTCTAGTATCTTCTTCAAAAGTTCTTTCTTCAGAGTTCTGTAATTTTCATTGAAGAAGTCTTTTGCCTTCTTGGGTAGGTTGACTCCAAAGTACCTTTTAATCTCTTGTGAATGGCATTGTCTACATTATTGCTGTGTAGAAAAGGTACTGATTTTTTTTAATGTGGATTTTGTATTCTTCCAGTATTTATTTTAATATTTTTTATTACTTCATTATTATTTCAGTTTATATCTTATTACTTAGGGTTTATTTTTGTATACCAAATTAAAGAATTAACATTTCTTTTCCAATTATTCAGTATCTAAATAATATATATTAAACACAAATTCATTTATTACCAATGACTGAAATTTCACCTTTATCCTATCCTCTCACACTCTGTAATTTCTATTTTACTTCTGTAATCTATTTGGATCTACTGATTTAACTTTCTCTGGATCATTAGCATAGTATTTTAATTAAAAGAATTAGAACTATGACTTACTAACTGTTTCATTTATATTATTACCTTTTGTGTGCAGATAGATTCTAACCTCCTTCAAATCAAAAACTACATTTTATATTTGTGCCTGTCTCTGTACGTGTTCTCAGGAGCCCTTAGAACAATACTATATGCTCATGGAACTGAATTTCATTTGTCTGAACATGGTCTTATGATTTCAGAAACATCTGTATTTAGAAACAAGCTTTTAAAACTTTGTAGAAAAGTGGAAATAACTATGGAACAATCTTAGATAATGATAAAGGTAAGTGATATTGTTATTTCCTATAATTACAAGAGCATCAGTGATGCTGGATATTCTTTTTAAGTATGAAAGCTTTTAAGATCTGATTTGTTTGATTTAAGCTTATGGTTTGTATTAATTAGAAATAATTTTGTTACTCTGAAATAGAATAGAAAAAAATATTTTTTTACCCTGTTCATGTGCTTATGGTTTGCAAAAATGACCATATTGTGGTACAGAAGATAGTGGCTTTTGTATGAGGAGACATGATACAAATTCTGGGTCACTTACTGGCTCTTTGCCTGTCATGTTAGATTCATAATATGCATTGCTAGTGGCAATAATCCTTAGAAAGAGTGTCATCTTCAGTGTCATGGTATTCAACATTTGTTGCTATCAGAACTACTACATGCAATTGCTTCAAAGAGACCTCTCACATTTAAAAAAATGTCCTTTAAACTCAAGTATACAAGCAGAAAAAATTGATTTTGTATCTAGGTACTTCTTTCCTTCAGACACCCTGTGAAATTCAAAGGAAAACATCTCCACACATAACATCAAGTGTGGAAACTAGATTATTCCCTACCTCTTGTTCCTCGGAAAGTAGGCTTTGCCTCCATTGTACTCAAAATCAATTTTTACCTCTCAAGAAATTTTGTACAATAGATCTAATGTTGTACGGAAAATTCAATGATTTCTCCACAGATCCATGAAATAACAGAGCATGAGAGCGTCTTTAATATTGAGGCTCAAGAAAGTTATGTTTCCAGATCCAAGACATCTAAGTGTGGATAAAAGTCCAGGTTGGAAGAAATACACAGGACAGGATTCATGGAGAGATGAGGATTTGACCTAGGGCATTAGCATCAAAAAAAAAAAGTAAGACCTAGAAGAATATGAGAAATAACAGGATTTAATAATTGACTGGTTGTATACAAGTGTTTTTAAAGATATACAAAAAAAAGCACACAGAGAGTGAGAACATTCCAGAGAGCTGTTGTGCAGCCATTGGTACCTGTATTGGGGAAACATAGCATACAAGCAAGAAGCTAACAGCCTCAGTGGCGAAAATTTTTTCATGTCAGAGACGGAGAAATCTTGCAGTGGTTTATGTCATCCTTCTTCTCCAGACACAAGATACCAAAAAGTTGCAATCAAAGATCTCTTCATCTTATTGACAAACTCACTAATAAGCCAAAATGTCTGTCAAAGTCAACCTCAGCGTTTCAGACCAGTTCTATCGCTACAAGATGCCCCGTCTGATTGCCAAGGTTGAGGGCAAAGGAAATGGAATCAAGACAGTCATAGTCAACATGGTTGACGTTGCAAAGGCGCTTAATCGGCCTCAAACGTATCCCACCAAATACTTTGGTTGTAAGCTGGGAGCACAGACCCAGTTTGATGTAAAGAATGACCGGTACATTGTCAATGGATCTCATGAGGAGAATAAGCTGCAAGACATGTTGGATGGATTCATTAAAAAATTTGTTCTCTGTCCTGAGTGTGAGAATCCTGAAACAGATCTGCATGTGAATCCAAAGAAACAAATAATAAGTAATTCTTGTAAAGCCTGCGGCTATCAAGCCAGGCTCGACACACATCATAAACTCTGCACATTCATTCTCAAAAACCCACCTGAGAATAGTGACAGTAGTACAGGAAAGAAAGAAAAGGAAAAGAAAAACAGAAAAGGCAAAGATAAGGAAAATGGCTCAGTGTTCAGCAGTGAGACCCCACCCCCGCCACCCCCAAGTGAAATGAGCCTGCCCCTTCGGGCTGTGGAGGGGGAGGAGGACGATGACTGGGGTGAGGATACAACTGAGGAGTTGCAGCGGCGCAGGATGGACAAAATCAGTGACCATGTCAAAGTTTTGACGCTCAGTGACGATCTGGAAAGAACTGTAGAAGAGCATGTGAATATCCTGTTTGATTTTGTTAAGAAAAAGAAAGAAGAGGACATTATTGATTCATCCGACAAAGAAATTGTTGCTGAAACAGAAAGACTAGATGTAAAAGCCATGGGCCCTCTTGTTCTGACTTAAGTTCTTTTTAACGAGAAGATTAGAGAACAAATTAAGAAATATAGGCGTCATTTCCTCAGATTCTGTCACAACAACAAAAAAGCTCAGCGGTACCTTCTTCATGGTTTGGAGTGTGTGGTGGCGATGCATCAGGATCAGATCCTTTCCAAGCTCCCACATATCTTGAAGGAGATGTATGATGCAGACCTGTTGGAAGAGGAGGTCATCAGCAGCAGGTCAGAAAAGGCCAATAAGAAGTACGTTTCGAAAGAATTTACCAAAGAGATTCGTGTCAAAGCGGAGCCATTTATAAAATGGCTGAAGGAGGCAGAGGAAGAATCTTCCAGTGGTGAAGAGGAGGAGGAGGATGCAAACAATGAGGTGGTTTATTCGAAAACTGCCAGCATGCCGAAGGTTGAAACTGTGAAGTAGGAAAACAAGGATGACGACATTGATATCGATGCTATTTAAGGCTGGATGCGGCCTAGCTAAAGTGTAACGCTGCAACTTGTTCTCCACTATCAGCCAGAAGTGCAACGTGTGTGCAGAAGCTAGAGTGGCTTAACATCGTGCTACACTTTCTACTAAAAATCTATTACTGTGAGTGGTCTGTACCGAAGCCCAGTGAGACCTAGGGAGGTCCATACACATCAGTGAGCAGATGTAGTTTACTTATTTATAGCATGTTTCCTTTGAAAAAAAACTAGTGGTGGACATATTTGGATCACATTTATACAGTTATAAAAATAAAGATTTGATTTTGTTCACTTGAAAAAAAAAAAGCACACAGAAAGATTTTCATCTTTACTAATCAGTAGAGAAATGTAACTCTAAACTACAATGAAAAGCCACCTCATAAACATTAGGTTGGCTATTACTAAAAATAACTAAATAGTTAATTTAATTAAAGTGTTGGTGGAAACTGAGAAACTGAAACACTTATACCCTGTTAGTGGAAGTGTAATTTTATAACTGCTATAGAAAAAAGGCACTTTCTCAAAAAAGCAAAAAAAAAAAAAAATTATCATACAATTGAACAAGTCTAAGTAATTTTAAGAATATTTCCAAGACAACTGAAACCAAGTTATTTTTTAAATAATTTTATTAAGAAACAAATAGCAATGAAACAGTTTCAAACCCAATCAGTAGGACAGTTTCAATAATTAATACATTGCACGTTGTTGTCTTCTTGGTGATTATTCAGAGTACAAGATGCAGACATGATATCCTGTCCACAAACACTATTAGGACAAATCTTTCTATTCATTGAATTAAGAGAAAGTAACTGCACATCTATCCTAACTATTTTGAATATGCAATACAAAATGGTCCTTCATTCTAAATGGGGAAA